GATAATTTGTAATTAAAAATGTAATATTGTGGAATGTTTACATACTTTATTGATTTTAAAAAATAAATATGTTTATTTTATTTTATCACAGGTGTTAGTTGCATTTGGTTTTATACTATTTTAAAAATGATTTTTATTGAATATAAATTTTTGTTTGTTTCCAAGGTGGAGAGAAAAATCTACAACTATTCGAATTCTAGCACAATTTGAAAATTCTTGTAGTCTACAAGCTGTTTTTATTAGTCCTACATGTCTAGCATCAATATAATTTCTCATCAAATTGAAATTTTTCTTTCCTTTGTCTTTTGAGCTTTGAATTTTAATATTTGCTCTGTTACTACCTCCATGAACAAAGTCATTAATATATGTTATGTTTCGGATTGGTGCACTACGTTTAACGTTCATGTAACATTTATATTTTATCGCTAGAATTTATTATATGGTACAGCCTTTCTATTACCTACTAAAATAATATTTTTGTCTAACTTTTATAAATATGTTTTTTAAATATCTTATTTTTTTCATTTTTTTATTGCGGGTAATCGTTTATTTGAAGTGTATTTTGAAATGTAGTGCGTTTGAACAACACCTTCGAAGATTTTTGTACATTTTTGAGTAAAATAAACCATACGAGGACTGTGTTGTGTACGAGGTTCGGGAAGCATATGTTGAAAGACTAATTTTTTACGTTTTGCATTACCCAAAAAAATTTTGGTAGAATTAAATGTATCAATTCGTTCAGAGGTAATATTTCTTTGTCATGATGTATGGTTATTGAAATGTGTGCATGAGGTAAACTATGTGCCTGAAATTCAATTAATTTTTTTTTTTTTTCATAACCTGGGTTATCTTTTACTTGGAATGTAGTTTAAAACATAGTACGTTTGAAAAACATCTTGGAAAGTTTTTTGTTTACTTCTGAGTAGAATAAACCGTACGAGGACTGTCTTTTATATGAGGTATGTATAAAAATTTAGAATTTAGATTTACGATATTAGAATAAAAAATTCGTGGGTCAGTTTTCCGTTATAATATAGCCGGCTGAAATTCTCGGTATTAGATCAGTAAGATACTCAGTATTCATAATGTTAAAACATAGTAAGTTTTTTATTTTTCGTTAAGTTATTTTTAACGTTACCAGTACTCTTGTTAAAATCTTTTAGAAAAATAAATAATGTACTTACCGTCTGATTAATAAAATAAAAGAATTTACTTGAAAATGTTTTCTTAGAACATTTATCTGGTAATTCCGTAGGGTATACGCACAAATCAAAGTGTTTTGATTGTCCTAAGTTTTAATCTATGATAGCAACACATTTTGCTGTTAATAGTTAATCGTATGTTGGTTTTTTGTGACCTTTTTTTTGTGAAAAAATCATGTTTGAATTTGGTAATTTTGTCAACGTATGTAATTTAATGTAAATGTTTGTACATTTAGGTATTTGGTTTTTCTTTACAATTTTTGTCAAAGTTCCGATTTGCTCTTTAATAAAATTATTATAAAGATCTAAAAAATTGCCTACAAATGTGAAAAACTGTAAACACGTACGTGTGTAAATACATATACGACGATAATAAATATAATTCAAATAAACTACGAAAAATTTTTTCCTGTGATCAAATTTACATACTAAAAAGTTAACAAATAAAATAAATTTTAAACATATGTAAATAAAATGTATTTATTTATTCATACGTTCGAAAAATCGTAATCAGTCAAAATATAGGAGAAAATAATGGAATTTCCCTTATTTTGCAGAAGGTAGAACTGGGGGTAGAAACGGGGGCTATTGGAGATTGTAGGAGTGCCGTTTATGATTGTATAAAATCCCTCACCCAGTTAACTATATATATTATAGAGATATATATTTACATGAATATAATTACAATGAATCAACGACTTCTAACTCTACAGGAGCACTTTCGTATACGATCATTTTTTACATATGGACAAGTAAAGCTCCGTCTCCCTGTGCTCTCTGCTTGCCTATCTTCTATAAAATAATTATGATTGAGTTTTTTGTACATTAAAGAAAATTGGCTTGCTTATAATTACCAACAGTAACATAAAATTGTAAACATTTAAAAATTAAAACATACGAAATGATTCTCTTACCTCAAAACGATCAACAAAAACAAATGTAAAATAAATCAATAACAGCGAAATGCGGTGCGGGGGGAGGCGTTGGAAAAGTTGCGGGGGTTTCTTGAATTAGGTGATGGGATTGGTTGGACCTAAAAATAAATAAAGTCTTGACAAGTTGAAGAAGAAAAAAAAATTCTCCCATATTTAATGGCGGGGCAGGGAGGGGGGCACACAAATTGGTGGGTGGTATGGAAAGTCAATACAGGAAAATTCTTTCTATAATATATATCTACAGTTCATATCACCAGTCCACCTCACTCATATTTGACCACCCGAAGCCTCCCTCAAGACAAGGGAAAATTGTTTTCATTTCAATGGGAAATTAACCAAATGAACTTTTTGTTAAGCTCCTGGTTGTCATAATTTAACTCCCCTTGGCTCCCTTCACAATCTTCTCAGCCCCCCTTAAAACAAGGCAAAATCGTTTTTATTGTGATGTTCTGAACACCTAATAAAATTTATAAAATAAAATATCACCCTTTCTTAGCTCCCCATGCTGCCTTTCAATTTGTTCTGACGTCTGCTTGCCTCCCCCCTTCATTGTCTTTTCCCGCTTATTTTTGCTCTTTCTTAGCCTCCTCTGATAAGGAGTCTAAATTTCCTTTATTTCTATGTGAAATTTATCAAATATCTTGTTCAATAGTTCCTCGTCGTACTAACCCAGTTTGGTATATTTTTATCTATTTTTCCCATACTGCCCATTAGAAAAATAGACAGGCACGTTGATATTTTATTGGTTGTTATTATGAATATGATAACCAACCGCTCATCGTTAGTTAGGAAAGTGGGCCTGAAGAATACCTTCCCTGTAGGTATGCCGTTGGGATGATCACTAAGAAGGAGGCCGTTGTGGCTACCCGTATTCTTCAGGGCTCTCTTCCCTGGCTTGTATTTAAAGTAGAAAATATCCGACGACACCAGGCTGAATGGTTGAACGGCTACAGAACTCTGAAGTGTTGGAGCAGGTTATGTTCTGGCAAGACATGTCTCCTGGTATTCCATCGGAGACGTTGACGTTCCTAACGCCCATTTTTCCGTGGCACTCGGTTACATTAGTGATCCAAGGTTAAAACTGATTTATTTCGCTTGCTCACGAAAGAAGAGTGTCATCGGTAGCCGGAATGCCCAACTGCACGATTAACAACTCTGTTCTTGGTGCACTGCCGATGAACGACTACGATAATCAACAATTCGATGGGGCATCGTATAACCACTCTTCACTATCTTTGATTGCGGGTGGCTTTAATTTTACCTTGACGCCACTTAGTGGATCCTACTGAATTTAAGCGCGAAGCTAACTTATTTTAGGAAAACTTTGAGCTTATTTATCTCTATTGTTATTAACTTTTTCAAGAGAAAAAATATATGAAAACCAGTTCGGAATTATCAAGAATCAGTTTGCGAAATTTCAGCAAAATCGCTTTAGTAGTTTTCGCGGTTAGCGATTACGATGGTTTTAGCGACTTTGTTTTATATATTAGTAAGATAAACTATCTGCTATACCTAAATTTCTTATTAACGTAACGAGTGCTTTAATTTTTAAAATAGGTTCATGAGGTGGTAGATCTTCACCAATATTATTTATTCTTTCCATCGGAATATTAATACAGACATTATTGTTGGATTCGTTAACTCCTTTAGATGTCGCTTCATCAATACTGTAGTATGTCTTTATTTCACTTATTATGTCATTTAAAACCTTATTATTTAAAGATAAATATTGATAAATGTTTGCCCCTCCCCCTTAATTCTCTTTCCACGCTTTTCTTGAGCGATTCGAACATTTTTTTTTACAAAAAGCAATTTCCTTCAAGATATCAATTTTTGTACACAATAAATATTTTTAGGTGTATGTAAATTTAACGATTTACGAAAATTGTCTTTCGTTGCAAGAATTCGAGTTACGTGCAGAAGTGCAAAATTTTTTTGATAAAAAATGAAATATTTTGCAAAATGCGTTTTACATTTATTCCAAATATTTTCTCCGAAAATATTGTAGTATGTATCAATAAAACTCTTAAAATACTATTAAAACCTGTTAAAAAATGCCTTTAATTATATCAATTTTTCTATAAATGGAAGTGAACCCAGGTTTATAGTTTCTAGCTTGTTCAAAGTCTACATGGCTAAGTAATAATTATGAAGATAATTGTAAATGCTGTTTCAGAGTTCTTATTTCTTACGTAAAAGTATGACATTTTTTAGTAAACAACTCATGTAATTATTTAGAGGCATTCAAGTCAACATATTCATATGTATAAATTACTGTAAGTATAATACCTATGTCAATAATGATACAACATATTGTAGTACATACAATAAATTTCCCTCTTTTAGTGTATTAGTCAAGTTAACGTAATGTTGAATAATTTTATCGATGTATGCAACTGTTTGTTCAAAAAAAAATTATTGCGTTATTTTTCGTTCTACAGGTTGTAATACGGTCAGAACTGCAATTTTGCCGTGTGAATTTTTATGTACTGTCTTTAAACTAAAATAATTCTCTGATTTTTTTCTAGAGAGGAAACAATAAAACTGCTGTTAGAAACAATACTGTCAGGAGAAAAAGTCGAAAGCAGTATTGTTGGTGGAGTAAGAATATTAATTAATGTAATTGGTAAAAAAGTAAGTTCATTCATAGATAGCAGTGATAGCTATGGAGTTTCCTATTCCAACATTGTTGAAGATGAACTACGTAATGAATTAGCTTTAATCGTTATACCTTACCTAAGGTATTTCAATCAGTTATTAACTGAACCACCACAAGTAAGTAAAAAAAATTATTAACAGTTTGATGAGTAGCATGACAAAATTCGGTGTGGTAATAAAAATTTTGACTTTGCATGAGCATAGACTTATATTCATAGAATATTTCTTAAAAAAGTCTTACCCTTTTAAGTTAGATACTTCCAACATTAAGGGCTATTTAAATAAGTTACATAAATAAGGAATAAAATGTTATTATTGTCATTGTAATGTTGTAACACTGAGTATGCTGTTAATTTTAAAAAATTTCTAATTCTTACGTATCCCTCAAACTCATCGTACATTTAAAAAAAAATATCTATCGCATTATATAAAATTCTCAGTTTCTATGCGAGCCTAATAAGACGAGTTTTTTTGCTCTAACTGAATCCTTCCAAATTGTTAAGCTTTGATTTTCTAAAGTGGTAGTGTTCATTATACAAAATAAAGACATCTATGTTATTTTGAAAGTTTCTTATAAATATTATTTATGTTACTCATTTTTCTCGCGATCGACACTGTTACAAAACTAAAAGAAAACTTCATGAAAATCTTATTATCTACCCACTGATAACTTAAAAAGACCAAAATTTTGTTTATATTTTAGCATTCATTCGTCTTTGCAAACGTACGAACTATATTTTACTTCTTGAGTTTTTCTATTGCTGTCAACTATGCTAAATTTTTCAAATCAGCTATTTATTTGAACGCCATAATGTATACAACTGCCTTATAGTTCGAAATTTAGTTTTTCAATTAAAAATATGTGTTGTATGAGATATGACAGAATTATTAAATAGTTACTTTTTGTACACAAATAAGATTCATGTTAAGCTTTTTTTAAAGCGTTGCAACTTATAGTTTTTAAAACCAACAATTCAACTGACAACGTAACGTGTCTTTACTAATTAAACTATAAACAAAAAGACTTTAGTCACATGACCATAGATGTCTTAAGATCGACGAAAAAAACTGTTTTGTGAGGCCATTGTAGAAAATGGAAATTTATAAGAAATCTAATTTTAACTTGTGCATCGTCTTTTAATGGTCATCTTATAGTGCAAAAAAAAACATTTGTAGGTTGACGAACAAAATGTACTTTGCCAGCTAAATTATGCATTGCAAATTGGAAGCTGAATCGCTAGCATGTATCACATCTAGTTTTTATACTCTAGGTATCTTCAAATAGGTTTCATGTTATGACGCTACGAGTTTTACATGTATTTATATAATCAAACCATATAATTCTACTTTAATTAATACGAAGAATTGAAAATGAAAATATCGTATGAAGTCTTAAGTGGATGCTACGTGTCGTTCTAAGTAGAGATTTAACGGAAGTCTCAGAGATCAGTAAAAAATTTATAATAAAATTTTTAGTTACTCACTCTAAAACACAGGTGTTACCCCGTGTTGAAGAAAAGGTCCTTACAAAACACCACGTATATGGTAAAGAAATAGTTAATAGGAATATGTTTTTGTAAATCTTTTTACGTAAAGATTTTTTAAAGAAGTAAGAAAAACTGTTAAAGTAATAATACACTCTTTTAGATTTTAAAGATACAAATTTTTTTATCAACCAGGTACACAATTAAAAAAAGTTTTTTTTTCAACTTTGAGAATAGTACTGTCACAAATAAAAGTATAGAAGTCTCATATCCCTTATGTCTCTGTTAGGGTTCTTTCCCATCGTTAATTTAAGTAAGGTAACGAGACAAAGTCTCGTCGTATATTCTCTACATTATTTGTTGTCCTCTTTATATCACTTTGCACTACTATTGTATGGAGAAATCTTACATAGTGATGGTTTCCGTGGAATTCCATTTAAGTAAGAGTTCCGCGTTTACTAATGCTGATGCAAAACTGTTGCGATCGTGTAGGAGTATCAAGGAGTGATTCTCAGTAACGTGGTGGCAATGGCCACCTGTGTTTGCGCATTTCAACTTGCATGTGAGGACATTGACTTTTCGAGCTAAAGCTAACTGTCATTCGTAACACATCTGATGGCCGTAGGTTCTCGTCCCTATCTGGTTTTTTCTGTTTTTTTTTTTTTTGTTTTTTGTTTTAATTATTTATTATTATTTTTCCTACTATTTAAAAATGCTTGTTTTTTTTCCTGCAATAAAGGATTGTGTTAAGATTGGTAGCGCTATCCGGCTGCTCATGTATTAGGAGTAATGTGTGATAATGCAGCTATGCATTTATTATGACAGTATGTGCGATTGATCACGTTTTGCTAAGTATGACATTTAGCTTCACACAGCGTACTGCCAGTACCATTGAAGGAATATGGGAAGGTAATGAAAGGAAAATTTGATGTGAAACGTCTGTGATTTTCTGAGTTTTCAATCGCTGTCTTCTCTATTTAAATTTTGGGAAAGTGACAGTGCAGAGGTGTTTTCTTCCTCTCTATATGTGCAAATTGCAGTATTCATTTTCTTGTATCGTAGTGTTTGACTTTTTTTTTGCTAAAGTAACTTCGGCTACGTCTCTGCTGTATTTTTTTCTGCTTCTTGTATGTGACACGCAGTCTTATCGTAAAGGAAAATAAATAAATCCTTAAGCACGGGTAGCTGTGGCTTTCGACATTGGCGCCATTCGCGTTAGGCATCTTACTCCATTTCGTCGGATCGTCGTTCATTTGCACCTTTGCAAGCTATTAGGTTTGCTGCAAGTTGCTGTGTCGTGATGCATTGTTGTTGACAGTGATTTTAGAGTATTGCTGTAGATAACTTCTCTTAAATTTTTGCGTTTCCCATTGTATTCCTTTTGTGTACAACTTATATGCGATATGTTATTGTGTTAGTGCTTATTTGTTGTGGTGAAAGTGTGTTCTGCGACTGGTGTAAAAGGACGTGTTTAAATTAGTTTCTACGATGTTTAGTAGTATAAACAGTGCCCTGAATGTGAAACGAATTTTTTTTAAAGACTCGGCTGTCACCTTACACCACACTCCTAGCTATTTCCTTTTTTGTGTAGGTACATAGATTCTCTACAAACAAATTGTTAATGTGCCCGTGTACCGATTTGTAGCATTAGTTTTTTCAATAGTATTTTAAAATCTTTTGTAAAAAGGACATCCAAATTGAAATGGGTACTCGACACCGCCTTTCACAACCATACAATCTGTAATTACGTTTCTTACTTTTAATGAAACATGTCATCTAAGTTTAATAAGCATTTGTTTCCTTTGATTCTTTACGTGTAGTGGGTTCTATGATGTGTTGCTATTGTGTCGTAGTTATGTTTTATTGTTATTGTTTTATGTTGTTGCCCAGGTGGTAAATATATTGTGGTTTAAACATTAGTTTACATAATAAGGTAAAAAGTATACGTGCAGTAAGTATTTAAAAAATTTTTTTTGTGTTAATGCTCCATTTGTGATAGTTCTGTCTAACAATCCCTGTTCCTATGTAGAAAATTTTCGTTGAGCCAACAGCAGTGAAAAGAATTCGCTTGGTTCAATTGTGCTGCATGCTCTTACATCATGGTTTGAGCTTTATGGGCATCATGTTGTACGACGTAGTCGTTCCCCTTTAAGAAAGTACCTGGCTGTCATCGACGTTATTGGAGTGTCTACTATCATGTATCCTGATCTAGTTTTGCTGGAATCAAACGTTTGATTATTTATTACAATTAGTTATATTGTGTCTTTTTGTTCATTGTGTTTTATATTTATATGTACGTACAGGGAGATTCATAAGTACTTCAACAACGGTAACTGACGTGAGCAGCAATGTATTTAAATAAGGCCCGTAATACGATTGTTCGATTTTAACCTATACGTGATGATAAAGAGCATTTGGTTTGTGAAATAAGACCAGTGATTAATCGTGGGGCACTGTGTAAAGGCTACGATATAAGGATGGCAAGACTACAAGAGGCATATTTGTATTGACTAGAACCTTCTAACAGCTTAGTGTTTTCTTTACACAATAAACAAACCTTTACATTTAATGTTGAGGTATCGCTTAATATGTGACGATGATACTAGAAACGGGTTAAATTAAACTTCAACTGGGATGTCGCACGCACACATCTGAATCGAAATTGTCAGCGTTAGCAAAAATCACCATACATATTAAGATTACAAGTATAAGATGGATCTAAATATTTTTTTCTTGATATTTTGTCGAAGATAGGTGAAAGGAAACTGGCTAAGGAGGACGTACCCAACAACAAATAGCATTTATTGCTTCTTTCTTCTGTGCGTATCATAATCACACCTACAGAGATCACGTTATGAAAATGGTGGGGGGTTGGGGGCTTCAACTAATTTGTGCAAGATTGTTTATGGGTAAACAAGACAGCAGGAATAATGAAAATTTTGACATGAAAATGGCTACCTGTGAAGAAAACAACGCAATTCAGAACAAGGCATATACAACCGAAAAAATGCACCTATTACTATTTAGCTGATGATTTAAAATGAGGCTTACAACTGCAAGCTTTTCCTATAGAAGAAGGGTGAGGTCTGTGCCAGAAGCTGGTACATGGCACAACACACAACGGGCACCCAAAAATTACTTTATTTTGGATGATTTTTTTTTTAATCATAAAATAAACGTGTGAAGAAAACTTGACATCATTTTCGACGTATTTTTTCCTCAGCTTTCTGATGTGACCATTTATTTTTAAAATTTTAGGTAACTTAACCTCTAAAAACCAAAAAACGAGAAAAAAATATGAAATATCCCAACGACATTTTTCGTTAACTTTTTTTTTGTAACAAAAAATTAGGTCTTTATACATCAGAAATTACTTTGTCTAAATTGTAATTAAGTTTGTTTATCGTGCTATCAAATTAAAAACAAAGTGAGGATTCATTTGTGCTTAACGAACGTGAATGCCCTTGCTTTTACCAAAATGACAAATCAACAGTATTATGCATTTGTTTTGTATATAATAATACTAAAAAAATATAAGTATTATGTGTTGCTATTCTTGTTTTTAACCAAAAATACATAAACATACAAATAGGTGTGTGCTTACGGTAGAAAAATATTATTACAAAATTCTAA